CAATGAATGCCAATGGCTACAAGTCATCCTAGTGGCCACTACTCTGTTTTGGGAAGACACGACCAGCCTGGATTCATGCTGGTGTGAACGCAAGGGTTTGTCTACTCTTTCAGACATCCTGTCCATGGCTTGTTGGGAGATCTGATGCATTTGGTTTTGCTTGGCCCTGCTGCACTACAAAACCAGAGGATAAAACAACAATCTATATCAACAGGAGGGACAACAGTTAATGACTTTGCTCTGTATTACTCACGTATGCCTGGAACATTTATTTGACTTACAAGGTCACAAGGCAAGCATAGGATAGCTTGATTTTTTTTTAATCTCCATAACATTCTTATGCCTTTTCCAGTTTTTCCTGACTACTGGAAAAGGATTTTTAAAAATGTAAAAAGTGTTCACACTCACAAGAGCCATTTGTAGATACGTAACTAAATATATGGGATATACAACAAATAAGGCTTCATCCTTTCTAAACTCGAAATAAAATCCAAATGCTACATTTTAGCATTAAAAAAATGACTTGTTTATAAAATTCGAATGAAACAAGGCAAGCAAAACATAAAAAAATTAATCTATTATTAAACAGTACAATCCCCCTCAGCTGTTGTTCCAGAAACAGCTCTATAAAGGATTCGGGTTTCACATCCCAATTAAACGAAACTGAAGCTATTTTAGGACGTCGACGACCAAGAGCACTAAATTATATGTTTTAGAAGGATATTTATTTTTAAAGACAGAATGTGATTCTGGAAGTTACAGTTTGAACCTTTCAGCTGTCAACAATCTCACCCCACTGATAGCAGCATCTTTAAGCAAAAAAAAAAAAAAAAAAAAAAAAAAAAAAAAAAAAGAGAGAGAGAGAGAGAGAGAGAGAGATAGCCTACATTTACAATTAAAAATGAAAGGATCCCACTATAAAACGGATGCAGCTTTGGTTGTGATTAAAGCCTTAAATGACACCAAATATAAAAGAATAAATAGAATATATAATTCTCATTAGTAAGAATTTTAATAAACGTCTTTCTACGCTATCGTGTTAGCCTCATAGCTTAGCACTGTCAACATCATTCCTGCAGCCCCACACATCAGTTAAGGCACAAAACAGCTTTAAATCCACTATACGGGCATCATATGCACATTGCATTAAGATATAAAATAATTCAATATGTCAAGTATGAAATACTAACATCATCATACTACAACCAAAGAGAGTAAAAATCAATAAGTTGATACAAAAAAGGATGAGTCGCTATAAGGCGATCCCTGAGCTGGCTAACGCGACGGCTAGCATCCGCTAAAGTCACTCCATCGAAACCATCCGCACTTACCAGGTCAAACCAGACGATAAACGAAAGCAACTTGATTAATTTTACTAGTCCCTGGTCCAAAGGAGGCGATATGAATGGTGATATAAAGGAGACTAGCTACAGTGTTCAGCTGGCATGGCCAGTTTTAATGTGAATAGTTGGATTCGGTGGAATGGAGACAGTGTGAGTTACACCCACAACGAAGCCAAAAACACGCTGACCCCGCCTCTCTCTCTCTCTCTCTCTCTCTCTCTCTCTCTCTCTCTCTCTCTCTCTCTCTCTCTCTCTCTCTCTCTCTCTCTCTCTCTCTCTCTCTCTCTCTCTCTCTCTCTCTCTCTCTCTCTCTCTCTCTCTCTCTCTCTCTCTCTCTCTCTCTCGGCATCTCCTTAGCATTCTTCTCAACACAGTTTTCCAGAATATTCCATGGAATTATTTTATATTTATTTCAAACTGTGTAGGTTTTATATTAGGTCTACATGTCAGGTTGAGCATAGCCTGCATAGAAATCAGGGCCATTACTTTAAAAAGTCGCACATTTCAAACAAGTGGCTTATAACGCATAATGTTATACTGTAATACAAATGTTATGAAATCTTTTTTTGTTGTTTTAATGTAAAGCATCACAGATCTGTTTTAGTAGATTCAATGTTTCTTAATTGACTGGAAGTTATTATTTTAATAGACTACATTACATACAAAAACTAAATTATCCTATAGCCTATCCTAGGCGTATTCGTTTGTTTTGGTTGAAGAAGAAAAAAAACTCATACAGGTTTGCAACAACTTGAGGGTGAGTAGGTACACAATGACAGAATTTTCATGTTTTGGGTGGAGTATCCCCAAATGAGGGAAAAAACTTTAAAAATACAATTCAAGAGTTGTGCAGAACATAACAGTATGTTATACGGAACTACAGCGCCACACAGTGTTTGTTGATATCCAGCTAAATGGAAAAGCATATAGGTAAAAAGTGAACAAGGTAACTTACAATATATTGTATGCTTATTTGATTTGCTTATTTTAAAAAAAATATGCCATGTAGAGACAGCTCCTAGTTTTTAATAACTTTTAATATTTTTTGCAATTGTAGTCAAACACCAAAAAAATCATACAAATAAGGCTTAGACTGAAGGCAATGCAAAATCATGACTGAACAGGGAGCACAGCTCAAAGTTTCAAACAAACATTTCAGCTGTGCTGATATTCTAGATTGCAGTAGAATATGACGCAGAATAGGAGAAGAAAGTTCACCAATACTTCAGCAATTAAAAAAAAAATTAAAAAAATTAAAAACATGTGCTGGATTATGTTGTTGTTTATATTATGTTTCTTTGTGTTTGTTCCCGTCAAGTTGGCCTAGCTCCCAAGTATGATTCAACTCACCTGTTGATTCAAGTATGATTCAACTCACCTGTTGATTCAACAGTATGATTCAACTCACCTGTTACCAAACAGAGCAGTCCCCTTGTTTAGTCTGGTATACTCCCTGTTCTGTTCTTTGCCCTGTCCTGTTGATGTTAAGTGGTTTTGTTTGCCCTACTTTCCCAGGGATTTAATAAAGACAGTTTCTGTTAAGATATTGGAGTTGGCGTATAACTCACTATCCATTTGAGGATTTCGCCACATATGTGGAGTGAGTAGTGGCAAATTACTCTGCATTCATCATCGGCCCAGCGGAGGACATCAGTTTCACTCCAGACAGAGTCCAGTCAGCCCTACGGAGCTCAAACCCGATTCCACCGCAGAAAGGAGCCTGAGGAATGTGCCAGTGAATCCTACTGAGCCACCCCTGATCCCTGAGCCCAACAATACGTCTGAACAGGTGCACAAGTCGACAACATTTCCCATCCAAGAGGGAATACTAGTGGAGTTCAAAGGCAAGGAGGAAAGCCCTGCCGCTGCGAATGAGTATTGCATGGCCTCTGGAAATATATTGGATTAATTAAAGGAGGTAATACCCTTAATTCCCCTGTTACCACTGGCTCCGCCCAGTTCTGAGTTTCATAAGTTTTCTGAGGGCCTGTCCAGTGTTCCTTTTCCACCTCCTTCAGCATATACATCAGTCTTTCCTCCGCTGGTTCCTGTCAGTCCCTCGGCTCATCCACAGTTGGGTTTTTGCAGTGCGGTGGATCTGCCTGGGGTCTGCCAGTCCTCATCATGAGGATCCCCCATCTCCTCCTCCAGCCACAAAGCCCCGGACTCCACCTTGGTCTTCCGACCCTACGGCTTTGCCTTGGCTCAATGCTCCCTCAGCTCCACCGTGGCCCGTCATCCTACCAATTCCACCAGGCTCTCTTGTCCCACCGTCTCTGCCTGGGTCAGACATCAACCTGGTTCCACCACAGGATTCCTGACTTCTACACTTCTGCCCTCCATCCCTTCGGCTCCACCCTGCTCCGCTTCCCTCCGGCTCCACTCTGTCACACTGGCTCCTCTGTGGCTTTCCGGATCCCTGCCTCAATCAACCTTGGCCCTCCAGACTTGCAGTGTCATCCTGGCTCTGTGTCTCTTCAGCTTCGTCTGTGTCTCTACTGCGTTTGGATCCATCACATCTCTGGTTCCATCTCCCAAGCCTCAACCATTGGGTTGGGTGCATACCGGCAGGATTATGTTTTGATCATTGTGTTTGTTCCTTTCATTCTAAATTGACCTATGTGGTTTTGAAGTATGTGTCTCATTCAGTTCACGTGTTGTTGATTGATTAACTAAGTATCCCTTGTTTAGTCTGGTATGTATACTCATAGATATAATAAAGGATAGATGTCTTGTCCGCGCTGTTTGCCAATGGAGGTCGACGTCCACACCAGGCGGCCATCTTTTCACAGGCAGCTCGCTCACTCATTGTGTTTTAATGGTGCATGTACTTTTTAAATAACCATAACTTGATCAATTTTCTAACAATTTTCAAACAGTCTGGTTTGTTATAAATATCAGAGATGTAGTAATGACACTGCACACTTATGAATAATCAGTGTATCAATAAATAATCATCCAGAATTATAGCCATGTTAATAACGTTTGTAAGAAACCAACCTGTTTGTAAATCCGTCAAGGTTTCAACGATATAAAAGTATTTGTGTTTGTGCTGATCACTCACCTTACATCAGGTACCACAGAGCCCGCCAGAAAGCTTGCCTGTGACATGATGGCCGCCGGTGATGACGATAGAGACTCCGCCGTTAGACTTCTAGCCTTTATTATGGATATCTATGTGTATACTCGCTTCTGTTCTGTTTTTTGTCCCGTCTCGTCATTAAGTGGTTGTTTGCCCTATTCTTCTGTGGATTTTAATAAAGACAGTTTGTGTTTAGATATTCTCCTTCGTCATGCGTTGTGCATGGACATGTTTATCGAAATTAATTTTTGCTTATTTATGGTTAAATTATAATTTAAGGACAGCAGCAAAGACATTGCTTAAAAAGTGAGATTAAATACATAACGTAGCCTATATTTGTGTTATTAACCTTTAGTTATTGCAGGTTTGCAGTTCATTTTTTTTTCTTTGAGGAACACGGAATATTGTGCAAGTGAGATGAGTAAATGCTCGCTCACATTCAGTCTAGGACTACAATAACCATCATGTTCACACAGCGCACAGAACCTCTGCACTTAATCCCGATTTCTCTCAACATGGGGACAGATGTCAGTAAATAAATAGGAAAACAAAGTAACAGTAAATTAGACACACCCTGCGATTTATTTAAATGTTTATTGCTGTGCTTGAAGATTACACTCCTTGGACTTTAGTTGTGTTTGGTGGGTCCGTCCAAACACAAAGACTTAAACATTTCTATTATTTATTATTTAAATAGTAAAACAACAATTCTGTGATGCAATACATAGGCTTCACTAATAAATTCTGAACAAGCTAGACTATAGGCAAGGTGGTCAATACACAAGAAACTATTCTGTGTGCTTATACATACAATCTGATGTACAAGAAAAGATGAGAAACATTCCATTTACCAAAAAGAAAAACACAGTCATACCAAACAATTGGTTACAAATCCTGCACACCTCAAAGAGGAGGCACATATAATGTGCTGATAGGAGGGCCAACATAAAATAAAAAGCTTCATTTTAAATACATGAGCTACTGCAGGCCCCAAGGTTCATGTGCTCACCGTGTGACAGTACATGTCCACAGACCAATAAAATATGTTTAAATATAAAGTAAATGTATGATATGATTTGAATTGTTTAAATTATTGAACGCCATCGTCTCCTTCACTTCACCAAATTCCAAAGTAATAAGTTACAAAAAAAAAAAAAATTCCTCCGGCACTTTTGGGCAGATCAACGAGAAACAATTTTTGAAAAATGATTGTAAAAAACATAACAAAACAAACAAACAAAAAAAACACCCCACTTTGCCTCTTTTTACTGGTTAATGTTGGCATAGAACACAGTAAAGTCTTTGAAGATATTATTTACACATCCTCTATATTTCTCTTCTTTTTATACTGTGAGAACTCTAAGATCTACTTTGACACTTGTGGAAAGTATATCACAGTAGTTTCAAACCAGACAGTATCCAAATATAGTGCCAGGACCCCTTTAAATGCCACAACACGATAAATCAGACCAAAAACTGATGCTTCAGAAAACATTACACATTGCAAAATGTAATGATCACTTCTTACAGATGACGCTGATTCAGCACAGAAACGTTTCTCTGCCATAACTGCACATTTGGCTCAATTACATTGTATAAGAAACATTTTTGTATGACTATAAATTATTCCACATTAATATCAAATGGACTGATGTGCCTTTAATATAAGCTTGTCTGGGTATATGCTTTGTCATGCTTTTAAAAAAATTGGTCCTCTGGTCATCCACAGTTCACTGGTAGTGCTGTGTATCCCACAACGTTTTCAGCCTTGTGAATTTCCGCGATTAGGCCTCGTACACCCTACAAAGGGACGAGAAACAAACAGTGATGGGTTATACTGGGCTATACCTTTTTAAAGATGCATACATTATTATTTGTCTGTTGTGCTACCAAATTTGCCAGTAGTTTTGGGATTATAGTGACACCTACTGGTGTGGAGTCTTCATCTCATGTGAGTGTACATGGTTTTAAAGTCAGCATGAAACAGAAACAGTCTTTTCGTCCTTATTGGGGGCTTTCACACCAGGTATAGTTATAGGAGCTAAGTTATAGGAACAGGCCACCGGGGTGGTCCCCCAATAACAAATTTTCCCACTAGGGCCATTTTCCTGGTTGAATTCACATTTCCGGTAGGAACTCTGAAGTGACGTAAGCCGGCCGACAGCGGCGTCAATTACTACACAGTGATCGGATCTCTGTTTTTGTTGTGGGTCATGTTTTTTTGCGAAAGTTATGCAATTGATAGAGCAAAATGGAAGGCTAAAGGCTTTTTCATACGGGGAGGAATTTCACACGCGTTATTCACCGACGTTTAACGCCTTGTGACTAAACAAAGGGGGGCAATGTGAGTGTGTAAACCGCTGCGAAAAATGGCACGAGTAAAAGCGTCATTTTAAAAAAAAAAAACTCAGATTAGTTTTTTTGGTTTGACAAGCCGCGTCAAAAACTATCCGACCAATGAGATTGGCGGTTTTGCTCACGTGTCTGGAGCTTCTGAAGTTACAGTAAAACACAACTTGGGGGCGCTTAAACACAAAACGGTCTTGCCGAGCACACATATGTAAAAGCGAAGAAGATACACGCCAAGTAGCGTCTACACCATAGACATCATATAGATAGATGCCCTATCAACCGCTGCTACTGTCTATTGGCATGGACAAGCCATGGAGCTGCCATCTTAAACCGGTCATCTGCTCCGTTCAGTGTAATCTGTTTAGCATGTGCAATGAGCTGTCAGCACATTTAATTAATAATATCTCACTAAATACCGAACTGATTTTCACGTGGGTTTTTTTGCTGCAAAGGTCATATATGTACCTATGATGCAGGTCCAGTACACACGGCATGTTTTATTCACAAAATACAACCAATAGTACGGTAATGTTAAATCTTAAAGGTGGAATACCTAAGATTTTTGCATTAAAATATCCCAAAATCACAAGGCCAGTTATATATTTAGTTAAGATGATAACTTACAATATTCCAAAAGTTTCAAACAATGTTTAAATCGCGAGAAAATTGAGATTTTAACCAAGGAAACGGGGTGAGCTGGGTGAACTCTAAAAAATGTAACTGTGTTGACTGTAAACATTTTTCAAGAGTATTATTTAATTTCCTACTTGTTAAAAAGTTTGTCTATAATTCGTAATCAAACTATATGGTGCAAATTCCACTTATTTTTTTCAGCCCACAACCATCCTTCTCACTGATTGTCTGTTTAATATTTAACTTTGGATTTTGGGTAATTTGGGTTTTGAACTGTTTTTGACTTCGCTGTGCTGGAGGCCATCGTGTATATCAATGTAGAAGAGATGTTTCAGATCTCATGACATCGCTCTGCTGCTGAACGCTACCTGTGTTTGTCCTTCCAGATTTTGAACCACTTGACAAGGTTTTTAGTGCTCTGGAGTCTGGGGTGCAGACAATACTCCTGACCTTTGAAACGGGACACATTCTCCATGGTGACACTATAAACACACAGGGAAAATTATGGATGAGTGAGTGGGAAAACATTAGTCAAACAGCAACACATTATGCATAGATTTTCATCCATCGTAATTTTTGTTTATAAATGTATGCAACACTGAATTAGAGATTAAGAAAAATCATCACTTAAATTGTTAGTAGATGGCAGAAAATAGACATAAACAAAACGTTCTGAGGTGAATCATCATGACCACAGAATTCGCTGCTGAACACGTGACCAGTAAACAAATAAAAAAACAAAAACAAAGCAGAATTCAACTAAATTTTGCAATTAAGATCTGAATCATACTGACTAAGAATCCCTTGTCTTTTTTCTCGATTCTTTTTACTTTATTATTCACCTGTGCAGCCAAAAGAACATGTTTGTTGTCTCTAAACTCACAGGAGCTCTTGTGAGACTGGAGAAGCTTCTAGAATGTTAAACTCACACTCAGAATCCAGTGCCTTTTACTAGAGAGAAGGGACATTCTCGGCACAATCCACTGGGTTTGTTTTTCTCTGAGGTCAGAGCTCACGAATGCAAATCCAGACAAATGAGCTAAATGGCCATGGATTGTTAGCAAAAACTTTGAGGTTAAAATAAATTTGAGTGAGTCAATCTCATAAATGCAAATTTTTTTTCTTATTTGTAAAAGGATAACAAAAAAGTTTAAAATGTAAACTATATTTTTGCACTAACTATTAAGTGCATACAGTATAATTACAAACTTAAATTGTATATATTACATAATCTTCTAATGATTACAACAGTACAGCCCTTGAATTAAGAATGTGTGCCCTTCGAGGAATGAAGCAAAGAATAAGTTTCACATTTGACCAATTTGATTTGAAATGAACAGTTTAGATGAACATTTCCAGATCTGAACTGCTCTCTCTCTCTCTCTCTCTCTCTCTCATCCATGTTACAATATTTTATTGCAAGCCATGCTTTTGAATAAATATCTAATTTTACAAATAAGAACGCTGTAATGCTTGATTGAATTTCAGAACCTTACTACACTGTTAAAAAAATAAATTATATATATATATATATATATATATATACGTATATATTCATGATTTATATCAAACCTATCTTTTGTCAAATCAACTTAGATAAAGATTATCTATTTTAGCTTCTATTTACTAAACCAATCTCTTTTGTTGTATTAACTTAAATTTTTAATTTCAATGAACTCAATTTGAAGGTAACTAGGTAACTTACTTTTAAGTCAAACCAATAATCATTTTTACAGTGTAGAATATTCCAGCTCTGTAAATGCACTGCAATACCGAATATGACCAGCAGATGGAACAGTAATGTATAGTAATGTTGACAATAAAAAAGACAAGCTTATCACAAACACAAGTTTGCTTCACACCGCAGAAATCCCACTTGGATCTTATAGGCTTCATGAACAGAATACATTTTCATTACATAACCACGCGGAGTAATTTTGACTAAGCTCTCTACAACTCTCTTCTAAGCTCTCTACGCAGCAAGTGCGCCACTAAATTGTCATACGCATCCTCCTGGAAAATCCAACTAAAACAGCGTCTGTTGGCAGCTAATTGTGTTGGATATATGGCTGATCTAAGATGGTGATTTATGCTCATAATTAGCTATAGTCTAAATTGTTTTGGTGGCCGATCAGCTGCATTACCAGACAGCAACAGTCTGGTTTGAGCTGGTTGAACTGGTCGGGACTGGATTGAGCTGGATGACCATGCTTGACCTTTCTAGCAGGTTTTGAAGCAGATGGCACTACATTTTTTATTATTATTTTTATATGCTTAACATCTACACACATGCTTGAAATGGCTCTTTTCTACATTGTTCATTTCTTTGCGAAATCTTATAAATAGACTAGTCCATTAAAGCCCATTAGCATTTTATTGTTACAACAATATTACTGTTTCTTATCCAGTTATCCTGCCTATTTCAATTGGAAGTCATACACATAGTAATACAATACACAAAACACATGTTACAGACTCAAAACAAGGAAATTAAAGATTTTTTTCCAACTCACAATATCATCTTTTCTTGGCAGTACGGATGTTTAGGCTTGATCTCCAGCTTTTGTACATCTTTGTACCGGATCTTCGGCCCTTTTCTTGTGCATCTGCACTTGTACGCTAAGAAATGAATAAAAAGGTTTAGTCTCGAGACAAACCATGCAGTAGACGGGTGAGTCTCAAAAACAACAAATGCCAAGAAATTTCTGATTCATTTTGCACCCCAAAAATTATATTTGAAAAGAAAAGAAAAGAGAATAGAAAGAACAGTATAATTACATAAAGAAAGTAGAACGTGTGCCCACATAAAAAATTAAGCCAAATTGAATGCGTCATACTCATACAAGTGCTTCTTTAATAAAATATATATATTTACATTAACAAATTAATTGTTACTAATATTTATGTGATTTATTTCAAATGTAAAGTAGGCTACTACAACTGTAAATATGCATGGTACTTTTGTTTCCTGATTTTTAGCATGACTTTCATATTAATGAGAATGTCTTTTTATTTATTTGCATTAAAGTAATGAGAAATTGTTAGGATTCTGCTTTATTCTGAAACCAGGCATAGTTCTTGTTTAGATTGTGTTGTGAAATCTGACATAGACATTTCTTCCTGAGATGCTTTCTAACAGGTTCCAGTTTTTCTCTAACTTGTAAAACACTTGCAAAACTGAATTGACAAACGAGGTTGCGCAAAATCAACAAACAGCATCACTGCGTGGTGATTCATTCAAGTGACATTTGCTGTTTTCACTCTCTTTCAACATTCTGGCTGAGAGGCAGGTGAGCTGCTGAAAGACGTGTGACCCACATCTAATCCCTCATCAATCTTCTCTGCTCCATTCAGCATCATCTCAGGACAGAAGCCAACAAGACTCATCCAGCAGCAACACAAAGAGCCACTATTTACTATCACTGGCCAAGTTTTGCAGAATGAACTTGACTGTCTCAGAGAATAAGAGATGTTTGATAGTTGCACTAGCATAAGGCGCTGTTATTATGCTGGAAAAGTTGTAAACATTTGATAAAAACAAACAAAAAATGTTTCTTATACTCTTAATGTTTGCCTACTCTTAACTTTGGATAAAGCTAAAACATTGAATTCTGTATTGATATAGGCTAGCCCACTACACATATTCGCAAACTAAATTAATAAACTTAACTTAGAAAGAAAAAGAAAAAAAAAAAACATCACACAAACTCACCTTCTGTATTGAGTGAGTAAACGGCGATCACCAGCAAAAGTAAAGCGGCCGTAGAGCGATTCATCCCAAATAGTTGGTTGAGAACCTCCAGCAGCAGCCTCCGGTCTGTTTGTGCCACTCAAATCCAATAATCGAGATCCTCAAACAGTGTGAGTTTGATGATATCCCCGGTCTCTGTCTCTTTGAGGTCAGTAGCAGGTTGAAAGTGCTCCGCGAGACGTCAGGCACAGCGTTGGACGCGCTCTTCTCAAACTGATGAGACGCTCTCGAGCGCGCTGAGCTTCTATAAACACACGCTCGAGCGCCTCATTGATATGCAGAGCCCGCCGACGAATTAACGGTGGCGGTGTCTCCAATCCAAGCGAGTTGCCTTCCTAGACATTTTTTTTTTTGCGCCGTGTGGACGCAGTCAATGCTGTCTAGGCAGCTCTCTAGGTTTTAAGACACGGTCCACATATCCCCAGTGAAAAATATACAATTGAGTTATAAAGTTTATTAGAGTCTGTTGTCAGGAGAGATAATTGCATTGGCTTTCATGCCTTCACTCACTTAATTTACCCTCATTGATTCTTGCTCATGAATTAAGGCTCAGTTTCACTCTTCTGTAAGAGTCTTTAGACGAGTTCTGTCTTTAGAGAATCTTTATACTGGATCCTAGAATACTGTTTTTTAAATGTTTTTTCTTAAATATTAATATAGCTTCCATTAGAAATTGTTGACGATGATAAGTTTTATCTAATATAGGCCAACATAATTCTTTGATTGATTCACCAAGCTGTAGGTAAAGAAGGTTGCAATCAGTGATTTTATGTGCTTCATTCTGGGGGTTGTGTAAGTGTAAAGCCTCTTACACACTTTTAATATATATATATATACAACAAGTTTTTACATTGCTTTAACTCATCAAAATAAGTATAGCATATAAGCAATATTCAACTTTTTATAAGTTATACAGGATTCAGTTTAATGTAATTTAAGTTGAAATGAATAAGCACACAATTGCATAATGGTGACAATTGCTTGGAGTTGTTCACACTAATGTCATCACTGGCATTTTCTTTTTTTCAAACTGAATTAGAATGGAAGAAACAAAACAACATTTGGCATCTACAATATTTATTCACAGCATCTAGTTCATATCGAATTTCATATATATTTCAGGACATTACCAAACGACCTTCTGAAAGGTTTAAAAGACATAGCCAGCAAACTTTTTTTTTTTTTTTTTGAAGATGCAAATTTTTTTATTTGCACATTGCACAATATGCAAAAGGTGTTTCTATGTATGTCAGACAGGTTTATTCAATAAGCAACCCCGCGTAAGCTATTTGTATATTTGCTGACCTATTTTATTTACTTCCATAATATAATTTACAATAATATTTTGCTAATAATATTTGTATGTCATTGAGTAAAACTATAGATATTGTTGTCAGCACTGGCCCAGTGTTTGGTTTTGTAAATGATACCCCTGAGAAGACTGTTTCTGGTCCCCCCCTCATGCATGGATGATTGGAGGGAATAAAGCAAACCATCTGAATACCTGTGTCTACGGAGAGGAGCCTCATCCCAGCTGTCATCAGTCGTACCTCACTCCATTTCATGTCCGTCTGTGGTCGATCCAAAGGTCCAGGAGAAATGAAAAGCATGAAAATAATGTGAAGCTACCCTTCATTCTGCCTGACTGGATGTAATAGAAACTTTATGGTAATCGACAATATCGATGCCCCTCTTTAACCCAAATCAACTAAATCATACAAGTCATACCAAAAACAGGCAGCTATATTTTTTATTGTTAATGTCATAATACCGAGATTGTCTGCTCAGGGAGAAAAAGAAAAAGCATTGCAAAAGCATAACTGAATATAAATTTATTGCAAAGAAATTCGGTTTCACTTTATTTTGATGGTCACTTTAACACATTCTAGTATTAGTAGAGTATTAGCAGACTGGTAGGGTTGGGGTTCGAATAAGTTGTTGTGCAAAGTACTTATAGTCCATAGAATGTCTTTTGGAGGAGCATCACAATAAAGAATTAGCAGATATTAAGCAGACAGTCTACTATTACTCTAATGAGAGTTAGTTGACATGTAAGTTACTTGTAGTCAACAGAATGTTCAAAAGGGACCATCAAAAAAATGTGTTACTAGAAATTCACTGAACAGAGCCTTGTGCTATACAAATGATGCTGGATCTCTTTACATTATGATAAAATGTGTCCACTATAAACAAACTGTCCCAATACCCTTTTCTTCATTTTGAACTGTATTGTTTTATCTTTAAAAACTTAAAATATTTTGAAATGTGTAGTTTTAAGAGCAGCATAAGAGTCCAAAAGCTGAACTTATCAAAGCAGACTTACAATGAAACATTTTAATTGGTAAATGACTCTATATAGACTAAGCAAAAAGAAGGTTACCTAAGGAAGCACAGAAGGGGCTGGTGTGGTAAATCAGTGGGTGATCTAAAATAAACGCATACCCAGTTCTAAAGGCAGCTTTAATGAATCAAATCTGCTGCTTTTACTCTGTCCCAGCCACATGCTGGAAACTATGCGAAACTCTCGCCATTGATCACCTTCCTTCATGATTATAAAAGGACCTGACTGACCCTCCATAAAATGAAGCTCATTCCAGCCAAGCATATTGAAGCAATTACTCTTGATGTGTTTATAAGATCATTCTAGACAAAGGACATTTTTGGCATACAGTCCATCCTCCTTCTCTTTAAAAAATGTTTGTTTCCAACAGCGATAGAGAGAGGATACATAAGGGTCACTGAGATTTACCACAGCTGATAATACCTTATAATATGATAATACCTTAGTCGTTGTATAATTATTTGGGAAAGGGAAATGCATAGATCAGGGGTCTGTTCTGAAAGGGTTGCGGACAATCAAAGGCTGCATTCACGTCCAAACAATATAGTTTTTTGGCTCATATTCATTTTCCTCACTTCATAGAATCAAACTAAATTAGGCAGAATGGAAATGTTAGGGTTAAGTTAGGGTCATTCTCAAAAACAGTTTACAAAAGGTAATAGAATATCCGCACTAAATACAATTAACTTAAAAACATGGATAAACATTGTTGTGTGCAGTGAATTATTGGCTGTTGGAAGCAGTAAAAGAACCCAAATTCAATAGACATTTAGAGACCCATTAATACATTTTAAAAACATGTTTTAAAGTGCATTCATGCTTACATTTTGAACAATTTAAGGATTGCGATCAAGTGACGGTCCACTTGATGTGCAATTTAGGTTTTGAAGCAACAAGATTTAACAAGATAAGGGCCTTTGATTAAATGCATTAGCGTGACGATGAAACTATTTTGTTTTTCCCCACTCACAGGCCCATTTTACTTTATTGTTGCTCTTTCATTAACTAATAAGTTCAGATAAAACCTTCATGTCTTTGTTGCATGATGATATAGTCCGTGGGATTTAATATGTCTTTGTTATGAAGCGTATTTGCACTGCATATCAGCACCAAATCTCTGCTGTTAAAAGGGAAGCACCGTGACATAACAAAGCATACCACGTCAACAAGCATCAAACCGGCTCCTTTTTTTCTTGATCAGGCATGTCTGTGAAAACTGCTGTCGCAGAAGGGTGGAGTTTGTAATTACACGTAATGATTTTAAGGCAGGTTAGCCGATGGCCAGCGGGCTCTCAGATTCTTCATGTTTACGTGCTCCGTGAGAGAACATGCTGGATAATTGCTGTGTAGTATTCCCCTAGCCTAAATGTCCTGGAGGAATCATAGGAATGCATGTGTTAAATAACATGCAAAGGGAAGGATAAGACCGAGAATACCTTAACAGGAGACAAAGAAGATGCATTTGACTTGCAGTGTCACAAATAGTTTTTTAGAAGACTTCATAACAGTTTATAGAGTGAACAATTTACACTTTGGTTGTAGAATAATTGTCATCACATTGACATATAAACAGAAGCATTTGAACATACCAGAATCCTTCAGAGTAGATCTGTTCAGCATTAAAACAAGTCGAGATGTTGGACACATCTAGTCAGGTTTCTGTACACTTCTCTGTATTTTTCTTCAAGAGCCTGGTTTCAGTGAGTAAATAAATGTGACGAGAACACTAATCTATATAATCTGATAATGTTACATAACACTGTCTTTGGAGCTTGCTGATCGTCATCACATGTCTGTGGTGGATTGGACATTTTCAAAGGCAGGTTTGTTGTTGTGCTTATATAAGTTTCCTCATCACCAAATCAATTTGAAAAGGGATCTTAATTACCATCAGATACAGGGTTAACAGTGTTTGAGATCCCTTTAATATCATTTGTTGTTGATAAATCCAACCTAACCTGTTCGTTGACATGACAATTACAACACACACAATACGTAACACGTCAGTCCAATTCCATTTTAATAATGTGATATTTCTTGACGCGCACGCGAGTCAAATCAATTTACAAGGCACATTTGACGTGCCGCACAATGGAATAACTACGTCAAACTAGCCTATGTAATATAAAGACAAAGTGCTACAAATATACTTTCGAACAATTCAACACTACAAAACAATTCACACTCAAAATGCTAGGACATTAAACAGGATTTTAATATGTAGTACAGGAGTATCAAATGCAGAGGTATATCTATTGCCTCCTGGAAGCAACAGAGAAATCATGATCACCTTTAAACTTTAATCAGGACAGAATTGCTTTGAAGATTTATGAGAGCCAGAGATAGTTTTTGGTTATCGGATTGGATCAAATCTTGAAAATGGGTTGTTCAAAAGGTAAAGAAGGAATCGGAAATCAGATTAGATCAGGGAATCCAATCCTAGTTTTAAACTGGATCAAACCTTCAGTTTGTGTTGTTCAAAACTTGTCAGTGGGATTTGGATAACTTTAATCCAAAAAAGCAGGATTATCCTTATCCCAACACGGGGTAGGATTTCAAGGTGGATTTCAGGAAGAAAATGTAGTAAAACTTTAAAATTGGTCAAATAATACATTTGTATCATTTGTGTAAATACTTTTATATATATATATTGCACTTGACTTGTGTAACCGTTGTAACGGTGATAAAATAGACATAGGCTAACAATTAAGCTATTCAGCATAGTAAAGTAAAAATAAAATAAGAATTATCTTGTCCTCATTTATGATTTGTTTCGAAATAAGAAACACTTACAGTGACCCCATGTTGGCTCTTCTACCTGTTCTTTACAGTACATAGCTGGTAGCCCACATTGTGATATGTTGACCCATT